AGGCGTCCCGTGGTTTCCGGGCTGTCCTCTGCCAGGCCCAGGGGCTAAACTCATACCTGGTTTGCTCAGTGGTAAGAGCCCCCGGCTGGAATATGCTGGGAAGCCAGCTCCAGGGGTCAAGCCCCCCCTCTGTCTAACCCACCGTTGGTCTGAGGAGGAGGTGCCYCCCTGGACGGGTAGTGGCTGTCAGGGGTTTGAAGCCAGCAGATGCTCCCTGGCCCAGAGGAGATGCAGGAGGGAAGCACATGCAGTTCTGGAGGCTGGAGAAAGCACTGGAAACAGAGGCCAGGGCCAGCAGAGGTCAGGGCCAGCAGGCCTGGCAGCTGSGAGCGGGGCAGGAGGCAGAGGGGGAGCTGGGAGACAGACTTACAGATGCCCAGCGCCAACAGACATTGCCCCTGGGCAGGGGTTCAGGGGGCACAGTGGACAGCCAGGTCCATGCTGCCCTCCTGGAGCTGAGAGGCAGCCAGGTCAGCAGCGCCTGGGGCCAGGGTCGGCTTGGCCCTGGGGCCTCTGGGGCTAGTGCAGGCCCGAGGGCCCAAGTTGGAGTCAGGACCTATAGGACCRGAGGAGCCACCAGCAAAGCGGGAAAGAGCCAGGCAGGTCGCAGCCTGCCCCTGAGGCTACGGACACCCCTGTGGAGCAGAGGACTGATGGGGGGCAGGCAGGGCCACAATGAGTCTCGCCATGGGACCACCTGGGAGCCACATCACRGCGGCTCTGAGCCTCTGTCTCCTCCCACCCAGCAGGCTGTGAGCGAGGTCAAGGTGGGCTGAGATCGGCCATGCCATTAGGGAGCGGCAGGCTCAGCAGACTGGCTGTGCAGGGCTGGGCCTCATGCAGGCTGAGGTGGTGGGACCCAGTGACACCAGGGAGCAGTTCTCAGGAAAATAGCCACCCCTCAYGGGTCTGGTTCCTGAAACCCCCTAGCAGCACCGGTGCAGGGGCGACTGTGACTAGGGGCTGGGAGAGAAACTAGGTGTCAGGAGGCCTCTCCATGGGATTCTGAACTTGGTGGGGTGTAGGGTGGTGGCAGTGCYCTGGAGGGGACCTGGGGTTGGGCAGGGGCTGGTGGGTAGCTCCAGGCTGGGGTAGAGGACACTTGGCCCCTGAGGCCGCAAACACAAGTCATCCCCAGAACACTCACTGGGGGCAGGAGGGAGGGCAGAGCAAAGACTGGGCATTGGAGCCACTTTGCCTGGCCCCAGGCCTGCCTTGCTGCCTCCCAGATACATGACCTTAGGCAAGTCACACAACATCGCTGAGCCTGGAAGGAGGAAAAGACTCCCAGGACAGATGTGGGTAYAGACTCTCACTCCAGCCTGGCCCGCAGCCCTTGGTCAGTGCAGAATTGGGGGTTCGAATCTGCCGGCTGGCTGCAGGTGGCAGGACTGTCCCCTGCCTGTGGTTGAGCTTGCTGCCTCTGCAGAGAGCCTGGGGGAGAGGGCTGGCAGGGAGTCTCACAGCGGCACCCCTCCCTTTGCTCACTGGCCACTGCTCTGTGGTGCTGACCGGTGGTGGCTACTCTCCTTCGTGTGCAGGAGACTGGTGCCGTGGCTCCAAGGTGGAGTCGGAGTCACTTCTAGGAGCTCCGCTGGGCCAGGGCTGCTGGGGGAGTGTTGGCTGGGCTGGTGGGGCTGGGGTGGGTGGGCTGCTCTGGCTGGCTTCTGTGTGCCCAGCACCTGGCGCTCCTCAGGGGGACAACAAAGAGCTAACCACCTGCAGAGAGCAGCAATGGCCTTAGGTGGGAATGGATCAGGACAGGCCCTGCCCCCAGCTGCAGGGAGGAAGCCCAAGGTCAAGGCCGCAGGAGGTTCAGGTCATGCCCAGCCTCTTGCTGCTCCTGGCAGTGGCAGTCCCACTGTGGCCAGCAGGGGCAGTGGGCAGAGGCCAGGCAGCCCCTCCCAGCTGTGTTACGAGGCTTCCGCCCTGTCTTGGGCGCAGAGCCCTGTGACTTAGCCCTCCTGCAAGGCCCCACCTCTTCCTGCCGTCACCTTGGCTGTTGGGCTCCAACACATGCATCTTGGAGGCCGGTGGCCGGGCATTTCTTCTCCAGCCATTGGATCCCTGCCTGTGTAACACAGAGAGGTTGAGGGGTCTGGGAGGACGGCGGAGACGCCACCTAGGTCTCGTTTAATCCCATTTTGCAGGTGGCATAACCGAGGTCAGGTCACTAGCACAGTTAGGCCCCTGCCAGGTTCAATGAGCAGGAGCCAGGGCCAGCATCCTGGGAGGCCCTCCCTGGACATACAGGTGAGCTGGCACAGGCCACCAACCCACCACTACCAGGATGATGCTGGCCACTCGGAGCCCAGAGCCAGAATGGGARCCCTCAGCCCCTTCCTGAGCCCTGTAGGCCACTCACAAGTGGCCCAGCCCAGCCCACATGCTGGGGACACCTCCAATCTCTCTTGTTGCTGTTATCTGACAAACTGGGTTGCTCCTGGGGCCTCTGGTGACTCCAGCATCTGGGTCACAGGGTTTCTCCCTTAGAGGACACCTGTCACTTCAGAATGGTAGATGCGCCCTCCATCCCCTTGGCCAATACCCACCTCAACCGCCCACACATGGCCGCCCTGGAAGTGCGGTCCCTCCCTCCTTCCCGGTGATGAGTCCTGCCCTGTGGCCTGCTGAGGTCTGAAGCCCATGGCGTCACCTCACACCTGCCCTGCCCTCCTGCCCCAACCTAGCCTGTGCTCAGCCACTGTCCCTTCTCTCCTGCTCCAGAACCGTCCCCAGCAAATGCCCAGCCCTGACGAAGCCCAGGGGCCCAATGGGCACCTCGTCTTTTCCCTTGAAAGAGAAAGTGGCAGGCAGCCTGGTCCCGGGCTCCTCTGGGCTGAGGAGGGAGCCTCTCCAGCCCCAGGAAGGAGGGCCTCAGCCTGGGTCCATCGCTGCCTGCTAAACTGCCCTGCCCCAAGGGAAGCGTGGAGCGGCTCCCCAGCRTCCAGAGCAAGGTTTGTGCGTCACAGGCCCGCGATGCGGGTCGGTGACGGCAGATGAGTTTCCTTCTATGGTGTCTTCCACTTCATCTTGATGGGACACCGGGAAGGGCTTGAATGACACACTTATTGTCATTGTGTCTTTAGAGATGGAGTCTGAAGTGACAGTTGTAAATCTCTGTGGGCGAGGGCAGGTTTCTCAGCACAGAGAGCCCCGTCTCAACCCCATGCGAATGCTCAGTGTCTGGAAAGCTCCAGACCCTTCCTGGTTCAAACTTGACGGGTGCAGGGGCTGAGGGCCTCTTCCCGGGGGGATTTGTCAAACCGCACAAGACAGACTCCAGGCCAGGTTCAATTAGCGGTGGCTTCTGTGACCCAGGATTCTGGGGGGGTCTGGGCTTACCTYCTCCAGATCACCCCCTAGCTGGACTTCCACACCAGTGCTACAGAGAGGAGGGACCTTGTGGGATTCACAATGGCCAGAGTCCATGTCCACGCTTTCCGGAGGTTGCCATGTCCCGACCTTGGTTTTCTCTCCTGATCATGACAGCAACTTGTAGTATCAGTGACTTTGTTTTAAGGTTGAGGAAACTGAACCCCCGTTTTTTGGCGAGAATTTTTTAAAACTGTGGCAAAACTCACCACTTTATCCACCCTGAAGCATCCCATCCTGTGGCCCTTCCTACACCCACAGCGGTGCATGACCGTCACCACTGTCTAGCTCCAAGACATTTTCATCACCCCAAAGGACACTCCCCGTTCCTCTCCCAGCCACCCCTGGCCACCGCAGGCCTGCGCTGGACGTCTCATAGACACACGGTCATGCAGCCAGCGGTCTTGGGTGTCTGGCTCCTTCCCTGGCCCATGTCTTCAAGGCGTCCTTGCTGACCCCGGTGAGGACTCCTTGCTTCCAAAGGCTGAGCTGCCACCTCGTGGATCCGTGGGTGGACACTGGGCTTTTCCCACTTTTTGGCTGCTTTGAACCATGCCGAAGCCGTAGGTGCACAAACGCCCGAGTCCCTGGTCCTCTTCTCTGGGTCTCAGCTAGGAGTGGACGGCTGAGCTCACGGTCTTCTGCTCACTTGGAGCGCCTTCTCCACTGCTTCCCACACAGATGATGGCCTCGCTTGCAGATAGGTGGCGGAGCCTGACCTTCTCTGGCCACACCCCATCCCAGCCTCCCGATTGGCCCTTCTGCTCGGCCCCTCCCCAGTGGAGCCGCGCCCCACCCTCTGGGAAGGCTCCTCAGGAGGGGGATGCCGAGCCCACCTGAGCAGGTCTGCAGGAGGGAGAAGGTGCTCCCTGAGCCTCGAGGAAAACTGAGTCCTAGCAGGCGTGTGCATGGCAGCCACAAAGTGCTGGTGGCTGGCACGGTGGCCTCTGTAGTTAACGTGGCAGGGCCTGGGCTGTGGTCCACGGCCCGGCTCCTGGCTGAGTGCTGACCTGAAGGGACTCACTCGTCCCTGTGGTGACCCCGCCACACAGATGCTGAGGCTCCTGGAGGCCAGCTTCATCACATGGCACCACAGAGGCTCTGGAGGCAGGCGCCTGACCACCAGGTCATGCAGAGTCTCCACGGTGGCCCCAGCCCAGGAACTGGGCTCCAGGACACAGGGCCGGGAAGGGTGGGATTTGCACTCGGGCCTGGCCGGCTTCTTCAGTCCCTGGTCACACTCGGCCTCCCAGCTGGGAAACGGGAGATGGAAAACCTCCCACTTCCTGTCACAGACACCCGCTGTGAGTTCAATGAGGGGCCTGCGGCCTTCTAAGGACAGCTACAGGAAGCTCAGACACGGAGGGCAGGCACAGCCCCGTCCCCAGGGTACACAGGGAAGGCACATTGGTAGGAGACAGGGTGGAGGATGCTGGCCCCAGCTCTGGGCTGGCCCCTCTGTCCCCCGGAGCCTCTTTCCTTTRGCTGGGCTCCCTCCCTGTAAAGAGGGAATGGGGACCTCCAGGCCCACCGAGAGGCTGCGCCAGCCTGCCTCTGGCCCGAGAGCCAGGGAGCTGGYCCAGCGGAGAAGCCACTAATTGTCCCCTGTTTCTCATTGTTTGAAGAGACACTTGTCACCCGAGGAGTTCCAGGAGGTGTTTGGGATGAGCGTGGAGGAGTTCGACCGCCTGGCGCTGTGGAAGAGGAATGACCTCAAAAAGAAGGCCCTGCTCTTCTGACGGCCGCCAGCCCTCCCCGCGGGCCGCGCCAGGGCAGCGCCCGGGAGCCCCCGCCAGAGCCACACACCCTTCACCCCACACCTCGCCGTGGCCTCTCTGTGTCAGTGGGACGGGTGGGGCCCTGGGGGAAGCTGGGCTGGGCAGGAGGAGGGCCCCAGCGGGCACAGCCCCCGGCGTGCGGAGAAGCGCCTGCCTCGAGTTTAGGGCCAGGACCCCTGGCTGGACTCAGCCCTTCCCAGGGGCCGCTCGGCTTCCGGGCCGGACACCCAGACAGGGGTGGCCCACCTTTGGGCACCCCCAGAGTGCCCGGCACTGGGGCGCAGAGGTGGCCAGGACGCGGGCTGTGAGAGGCTCTTCAGTGACAGGCGCTGTCAGAGCCGGTGGCCCCGCCTGGAGGCCGCAGACTCACAGGCCAGGGCAGGAGACAGAAGGAGAGCCAGGGGCAGAGCCCAGCGCCGGGTGGGCGAGCATCACACCTGTCCCTGACGCTCTCTTCAGGAAGGAGCGGCCGCGGACAGGGTGCCACCGAGCGCTCCAGGCACGGCTCCCTCCAGCCACCCCCTGAGGCCTAAGTGAGACCTTTCAAGTAACACAGAAGTCTTTATTTTTAGAAAAGTCTAGCTTACCTACACACAGGATGACACCCGCGCAGAGTGTAGCTCTACGTCCCGGGGAAGGGGAGCACCTCTGCCTTACGCCCCACCGTGCGGGCCCCTGTGGCCCCGGCTGGTGGCGTCCCCGAGAGACAGGACCCTCAAGAGTTTCCTCTTGTCTTTCCCTGTGTGTGTCACGTCGACGCCCTGAAGCCTGACCCTCTGAGTGACCTGTGTGTAAGTCCGTGTGACTCGTGGCTGCCAAGGCTCCTGGCCCTCATTTTTCCAAGTCTCCCCCAGTGGCTCTGGAATAAAGGTCTCCCCGTAGCCAGCCTGGTCCTCTGAGGCCTCCGGGGCACCGTCCTGGTGGTGGCCAGCGGTGCCTCGCCTTATCCACTGTAAGACAAGCCACACTCGTGGGGACCCTGTACCCGTGCACCTCCCCCACACAGGCACCAAACACTTTTGGAGGAGAAGGTGGAGCCCTTGTCGCCTCCAATCTGTGAGGCCAGCAGAGCGTGGGGTGGAGGGAGCAGGAGGCTGGCTGACGGGCCCCCCAGGTGACACGCACTGTCTGCATTGATAGGTGGGCAGGGCACTGACAAGGTGCAGAGGAGGGTGGGTGGAAACCGGGGTCAGTTTCTGTTCCTGTGTGTCCTGCCCAGCCCTGCCCCTGAGTCGTCCCTACTCAGCTTCCTCACAGTCCTGGACACACCAAGTTCCACTTGGCCCTCAGCTTCTCACCAGCCCAGCTGTTCCACAGAGGGGACTTCTAGCTCCTAATGCTTCCTGCCATTTAGCCACCCGAGCCTGCGCAACTGGAAACCCCGTCCCCTCCCTCCCGCCCGGTGTCAAGTCTGACCCCAGGAAGTCTGGGGTAATAAAAGACGCCCTACTGTAACTTGTCAGCCTGCAGAGCCACTTGTGTGATTGCATGATTTCTGAAGGTGCGAGGCCTCTTGCAAACTGTGCCAAGGCAGCGGCTGTGGGCTTGTGCACGGAGCAGGGCCAGGCCCCAGGAGGGACCCCCGACCCAGGGGAAGCGCCTGGTCTGGCCTCGGCTTGCTCAGGAGCATTCCTCAGCACCTCCCCAGGCTAGTTTCAGGTACCAGTGGTAGCAATGGGTAGGGCCTGGCTCCTGCCTGCCCCAGGGCAGGTTGAAGAGACTAACCAGGAGACTGTTTGGCCTCTATGAGAAAGCCATGGTGTGCCCATGTGTCCCTTGTCCAACTCAAAGGCCACCAGTGCTCCACAGTGACCACAGGATGGGCTCTGGGTCCTGTGCCCACCTGGAAGTGTCTTGAGGCACCATGCTTCCAGATCAGAGCTGTTCAKCTGTGCTTTGCACGATACTGGGAATGTTCTAGATCCATGTTCTCACCAACAGAACAACCACTGTTTGAATAGTGACTGGGGGATTGAACACAAGGTTTAAATCTTAATTCATTGAAAGCTGAAGAGCCACTTCTGGCTAGTGGCTGGGTAGCTCCAGAAGGTGAAAAAGTATGGCTGCCCCCACCTGAGATGGAGCCCCAGGAGGCCAGGGGATCTGCCCCTCAGGTGCAGCAACCTGTATTCCTGCCTGCTGCACACCCCTCTGTATCCGACCTGGGCAAGGGGAGGTGCACTGTGAGGCTCTGACCTCCGAGCTCTCAGTGGACACCAGCTGGGTGACCATGAACTTAATTAAATTCCAACATTACCCACCTGGAGACAGTACCCCCTCCCAGATGCCAACTACAAGCCCCAGATGGATTCACCTGGTCTTCTGACAGGCCCTTAATAAATCAGGATTCCCACCACCTCCTTCTTGGGTTCAGCTGATTTTCTAGAGTGGCCCACAAAGCTCAGGACACACTTAGGTTACCAACTTATCATAAAGGACATCACCAGGGGTGCAGATGAAGATTGGCACAGGTCAAGGCAGAGGAGGAGGGCACAGAGCACTCCCTGGGCTGCCCTCCAGGCACTGCCCCCTCCAGCCATCCAGGACCACATGAACACTATGCTTTTGGGTTTTGTGGAGCCTTCGTTAYGTAAGTAGGAGTGATTACATTACGGCCCTGGGCGATCAAGTCCAACTGCAGCCCCTCTCCCCTCTTCAGAGGCTGGGGGCCAGGGTGAAAGTCCCAGTCCTCTCATCCTGCCTGTCTTTCCTGTGACCAGCCCCATCTAGGAAATGGCTAGCGGCTGCCAGCCAAAGGACAAGTCATTAGCATGCCAACAGCACTTTGGGGATTCCAAGGGTTTTAGGAGTTGTATGCCGGGAACCAGACAAGGGCCAATATCCATGCCACAATATCATGCCTTCCCCCCCCCCCAGGGCTAAGTCCTGTCTCCCATGCCATCTCAGAGTCTGCCCACAGTACCATCCTGAATCAACACCACCTGGGGCTGGTGTCAGGGGCCCCCGGGACAGATGGGACAAGGAGAGGTCAGAGGCAGCAGAGTCTCCTTCCTGGAGGTGCCCCCGAATTCAGATCAGAGCTGCGGCAGGGAGAGCAGGGTGATCCCCTAGCTGGCCTTCGTGTTTGGCTCACAAGTGACACGTGGTGTCTCTAGTCCCAGTCATTGGCCAGAACTGCAAAGGGGTCCAGGAAGCAAGTACACATGTGTCTGAGAAAGGGAGGCCACTGGACCCCAGGCTGGTGTGGCTGGTTCCATGGCCCGGAGGCACAGGGCCCCACCCCTCTGACTAATCTTCAGGGCTTGGGGGGCTCTTCTTGTGAATCCCTTTGGAGTCCTCAGCTGCCCTGGCTACTACCTTCTGCAGGGGCCACCCACATGGTCCTCTATGCAGGACTCTCCCCGCCACAGGAAGATCCATCAGACCCTCCAAGTCCCAGCCACCCACAGCGCCCTCCTGGAGGGTTTTCACCCAGGGGCGCCAAGTTCTCCACCATGACCTGCTGTGCCCAGCTCAGGAGATGATCTGGGAGGCTGTCTCCCTCCAGACCCCTGAGGAGGGGTCCTGCCTCCCCCAGGAGGTCATGGGCCAGGCTGGATTCCCGGGCTCCAGCTGTGGGACACTCGACACTGTGCCAGTGAGGGTGGCAGTTGGCTATATTCTAGATGGTAGAGGGCAGTGCTGTCTGTCAGAGAGGCCTGCCCATGGGGTACCRAGGCTTCCTGTCACCCTTGGCTCTTGAGACCTCTAGATGAACCTGGCTGCAGAGGACATGGAGCCTCTCCACTGCTCACAGTCATGTCTTGCTGTCGGTCCCACGGCCTTGACCCCAGCGCAAGCCTATCTCCCGGCCTCCCAGGCAGCTGCCCCTCACTTTCTGGGCTTCTCTCTGCCCACGTTTTGATCTCTAAGGAGCTGCAAGGAGCCAGGTCTGCTCCTGGCTGTGGTCTGTCCTCTGCCCCTGTGCTCCCTCCCCTTTCTGGGGTCCCAGGTTGTCGCTACAGAGTGAGCCCACGAATCACACAGTGGATGCACATTATATCATTAAAACTGGACCACTCCAGAAGCAGGCCCCCTCCTCTCCARTCCCCGCTCCCTGGTTTTGGTGAGCGGCCTCCCCCTTCCCTTTGGGCAGGGCATGGGCTCTGCAGAGACCTAGCCGTAGGCTGTCGCTGAGCCACAGAGATGACAGGGCACACCAGAGCTTGAAGGCGCCTCTGGCAGATGGAAGAGGGAGGAGGTTGTACTTCCTGGGGCACCACCAGAGGTGCCAGGCCCATGGCTGGACCGTATTTCAGGAACWGTAGAGGCTTCCTGCTCTCTCTCTGAGCCGGAGGTCCAGAGAGCACTCAGGGGCTCGCCACTGCTCCCGCCTTCCTGCCACCCCCCAAGTGTCTCCACCACATGCCATGTCACTCCATGGTCACAGTCATCTCTCTGTAGTGCAGACTGACTGAGCTCCTGGGAGAACTATCTGTTTCCTGCTCAAATCCAGGCTCCTTGCAGTCACCGCTTGCCTCACCTCCCTCTGCAGCCTCTTCTTACCCCCTCCTCCGGCCCACTTTGCTTCTTGAGCAGCTTCTTGTCACCTCACTCCCCAACACTGTGGCTTTGCAAAGCCTCCTCCTGCTGCCTGGAAGGACCAGCTCCTGCTCACCCCTCAATGCCCCGCTGAGTTGCCCTCTTCCTACAAAGACTCTCATGAGCTGACTTCCCTCTCACACTGTTACATCCAAATATCCCAGAACAGACATAAAGGAGACCTGTCCCTGACCTCCAGACCGACCGCAAGCCCACAGAGATGGCAAAGCCATAGTCACTGGCAACTCAGGGCCACTCTGCTGGTGTGGAGGGAGGGAGCACAGTGAGAAGCTAGCAGGAGCGAGGCGGGGCGTCTGGGAGGCCTCCAAGGTAACACCAAGTTCCCCTGGAGTGAGTCCAAGGGGGTGAGTGGGGTCAGCCAGCAAGGGGAGGGCCTTCCAGGCAGGGGAGGCAGCAGGCCAGCCCAGGCCTGAGGACAGGAAGCTGCATGGCGCATCCAGGAGCCAGGCCAAGATGCCGGTGTGAGTCAACCCCTTCCTGGTGCTCCACCAAGGCCTGCTGTGCCTCTGGGAGGACTCCTCCCACACATTCAGGATCAGCTCTGCGCCCTGCCCAGCGCTGCCGCTGCGGCTCCTTCCCTGCCGACCCCAGCCCCACGCCTGCCGGTGCTTCCCTACTTCAGCTCTCAGCCACCCACACTCAGGCTACCTGCTGACTGCTGCTCACCCTTTCCTGGCTGGATGCCTATAGCTCTTGTCCTTCCAGGCCTGGGTGGTAGCTCTGTGCACTCTTCCTGCTCAGTGTCCATGGGGGCTTGGGCAGCGTTGGGGGTCCACAGCCTCTGCCCACTTCACAGACTAGTTCTCCTGCAGGGACTGCTAAGCTGGCTCACTGGCTGGGTTCCATGGGCTGCTGGTGGGCAACCAGGTCACCACACAAACCTCAGGGACCACCTGTCCTCCCACCTGGACGTGGGGCACACCCTGCAGCAGGTCCATGGCGAGCTGGGAGGAGATTCTTGGACCAGCAYTGAGAACTCCAGGACTCTCCTGCCTGCAGATGACAGCACCCTGCCCGCAGCAGATGACTTGCCATGCTTTGAATATGGACAGTGCCCCCCAAAGTCCATCCATAAGGGCTCGGTCCCCAAGGTAGCACTACTGGGACATGCTGTGGACCTTTCAGAGGTGGGGCTTAAGTTGTGGGGGGTGCGCACTCAAAGGGGACTGTGGGACCTCAGTCTATCCTCTCTCTATTTCCTGGCTGGGGATGTGAGCATTTTGTTACCTCTCCACCAGGAGCGACCACACTCACGAGAGGCCCACACCAATGGGGCCATTAAATTTTGGATTGACACCTCCAAATCTGTAAGATAAATAAATCTTCATAATTCCACTGTCCAAGGATCTCATTGTAGTACTGTGAAGCTAATTCATGCAACTCCCAGACCAAGTGAGACTTGGAGCAAGACCTGCATCTGAGTATGTAGGCCAATGTCAACTACTGGCCAAAGGTACAGGGCAGGCTGACCTGGGCSGGGACTGACCTAGGGATACAGTTCAAACATGTATCTACCCGAAAAAGAGCCACAAGGAGGAAATGAAATCAGTTCCCTGGGGCCCAGGTGGGTGGCCAAGTCAGCATGGCTGTGAATTCTGCCCAGACACCAACCTCATGGAGGTCCTGAGTGACATGGGAAGAAAACATGAAGTCATGGCGGGGAAGGCGGGAGGGCGCCAAAGCCCGGTCACCAGTCAGACCCAGGAGAGGAATCTGGAAGCAGCCGGCCACATGAAGCYGCTCCAGATGACTGGGTCTGAGTCACCAACTTGCATGTACCCGCCGGGGACTTGGGATCAAGCGCAATCACCTCGGCATGAAAGCCACGTGGAAATCATGCTGGACGAACCAAGGCCCACTGTTGCAGATTTCTCAGAGTTGATGATGTGAATTTTTCTTTTTAGAATACCTTTTCACATAAGCTAATCTATTAATGGACTGTCTGATATGAAAGCATCTTTGCATTACAGAGGAAAACTGCTGGCCAGGATTTCTTCTTCTTTATTATAATAGAATATACTCATAGGTATTAGAGAATAATGAGGTCTCTTATTATTCTGCTTTTTGATGTGCTGTTGAGTTCTTGGCTGATGTTTTATTTCAGAATTTTACTTYAATACTTATAGGTGAGATTGGTCTGAAGTCAAATGTCTCTCACTGAGGCCTCTAGAAAGTGTGGATGTTCATGTCATCCACAGACTTGGGGAAAACCTTTAAACCCTTTTTAAAAAAGCAAAAACCAACCAATCATAGGAAGTGGAATTATATAAATGAATTCAACATACATATATGGCCTAAATTAGAAAAGGCTGTTTTCCTCCACGGTGTCTGATGGCACTTACCATGAGGCCACTCTCGGGCAAAGGCATGTGCTGATGGACTAGGTGAGAAGGCTCAGGGGTTTCACTCTGGGCAGCCAGCCCATCTGAACTTGATGCTGACCTGGAGTCATCSACCACTGTGAGAAAGAGACGTCTGTGCAGGGCTCCGCCTGTGGAGYGGGGCCGGGAGCCGCAGGCCCTTGTCTCTGCCCTCTCACCTGCAGACTCTCCCTGGCACTCGGCCTTTCCTTTCCTCCCCTGCGTTTGGGCTTGTCCTCTCCCTTTGGCCAGCATGCTGGGGTCTTTCTTCTGACGTTATTTCTGAATATCAGAGAAGTTTCTGTTTTCCCTGAAAATGTAAACCAATCTGAACTATCAATATATRCCAGCCTGAAAACTGGCATCGTGTAGGTGAAACTGGTGGAACAGGACTTCGGAGCGCACACTATTTCTTCCCTGATTATCATATCAGCTCTGTGCTGGCTGCCTCCTGCAGACCATMCTCAGATCCCAGAGCCTGTCCATTGTCTGGTGGGCCTCTTCAAAGGCCCACTCAGCAAGACAGCTTCCTTCTCCAAAAGCCTGCAGGTGAAACTTCTCTAGTACACTTGGGTGGAGTCCTATATAATGTAAAATGACCATAAAGGTGACACTTCATCACCACTACCACCTTCAAGGGCAGAATCAAGACGAAGGTTCTGCTTGCTCTCAAGGTTGCAGGGGTTACACAAGGGCATGGAYCGTGGGCGGCTCCTTGGGGTGTGGCTGCCACAGCTGTACCTGGTGTTGGGGGGTGGTCATGAGGCCTTCCTGGAAATTGACTTTAAGGGTGAGACTGAAAGGGTCAGTGGAAATTGGTCAGGCATATAGAGAAGAGTGTGTCAGTTTGGGCCATGTGCTGAGACCTGGGGCCTGGAACAATGCCCTTCATAGTTACGGGGTCACTCCCTGAAGTCTTCTTTCCTGATCAGTGGGGACATCCCAAGCCACAGTGGGGTCCTGGCTGGAAAGGGGTGGGGAAGCTTCTCACCTTCATGGAGGAACTTGGCTGGTAGATCCCATTAGAGCCCAGGCTTTCGGCAGTGTGCACGAGTGTGTGTATCTGTGTGTGTGTGTGTATGCGCGTGCACATACACAAGTGTGTATGCATGTGTGTGAAGGGCGGTGGTCTGGATCAGACACGTGTCTGCTTGCCATCCATCCTGCCAGCCTTCTTGGTCTGCCCTCAGGACACCAGCTCCTGTTCTGAACACACAAGTGAATCAGAGTTTGCCCCCATTAGGTCCTAGAGAGGTCTCACCTCCTGGAGCAGAGGCCTACACAAATGGAAAAGTCCAGCAGGTCCATAAGGAGGTGGCTTGGCTGCTGTGGGAAAGGGGAGGACTGGGGGGGGGGCGTGTGAGTGGGGCCTAGAGGCCGTTGACCTAGAAGGAAAGCACGTGGAGGAGCAGGCTGGGGTGGAGAAGGAAGCACTTTGTTCTGGCCATGAGTAGTCTGAGATGCCTCCTGCAAGTCCAGCTGGGGTACGGGAGGTCAGGGCTGGAGGGATCTGGCAGAGTCCAGAGCATGTGGTTGGTGTTTGAAGCTAGTGACAGCGAGATGTCCTGGAAAGGTGTTCATGCAAACAGCTCACTGGCTCCAGCCAGGGGACACCCTACCATGTCAGCTTGGGCAGAGAAGTGGGTGGGGGTGGGTCCTAGAGGCAGAGGAGAAGCAGCCAGTGAGAGTGTGGTAGAGGAAAACTCAGACCTTGCAAAGCTTGGATTACACCAGRACAGGTTTTCCAGACTGGTACTGGGTAAATGGGGGTGGCAGGTGGACAGAGGGGGGCATTTTGGGCCAGGAATGGCCAATGTAATAGCTCTGAGGCAGGAAAAGGCATGATTAGTCCCAACTCCTTTATTGTAGTGGCACCCCCACCTCCACAGAAAATCTTAATTAAGCTTCTCCAGAAATCTTCCCCAAAATTGATTTCAGGACTGTCAGCACAAGAATCT